GTTGATAATTAGCACATACCACTATCACAACTGCTTCAGAATGATCCAGTTACAAGCTTTATAAACTAAACAGTCTCTACCAAGGAATAACAGAAAATAGATCATTTTCAATCTCAAGCACACCAACAATCAGTTACAACTATGGTGTCCACAAGTTACAAGGACCAACATTACCCTAAGATTATCTTTTGCAATCCATTAGCGATTATTAAACACCTAAAGAAACAGCGGACTGTATCGACGGTTTACCTTCAATAAAGCCTGCACCTTCAGTAACATATGCCAGCAGCTGTTCAAAGATTGCATTAATCTTCTTTTTCGCTTGAACAAAGTGCTTCAATGGAGATACATTTGTGTCGGTCATGATTCAACTTAAATACAAAGCAAAGAATTGTAATTACAATGCAGTTTGACTCAGTAATACCAGGCTTCAGGACATCTGGATCTGTATGTAATACAGGTACAATACGATGTGGTACAGCATTGACACAGCATGTATTACATCAGCAATGCAGAGCAGGATGAATAGCCTTATTCATTGTCCCTGAGATATTTTGAGACATTTGACACAAAACAGCATTATCAAACTGTCTAAATTAGATACCTGTGACATGAGAAATGACATCCTGAAATAAATTTGTTATATTTGATGTCATTTTTTGGTGGCATGTAAGATGTGGTACCGAATTTCTATTTTGTCCGAATACTTGTGAAGAAATAAACTGTTTTAAAGAACCATAATTTTATAAATAAGATTATTGATGAATACAATATTACAAGAGGGGAATCCAAATACAGAATGTTATTGTTTATGTTAACCCAAGACAAAGTTTCTTTGTGACTACTAGAATTAGTTAAATGAAATCATAAAATTCTCCTTGAAATTACCAATCAGTGTTTTTGCACCAATGTATATCATTATTCAAGAAAATAATATAGCAATGTTTGAGGGCTTCCCCACAAAAGAAAATTATAATTGGGCAAAACAAACAGCAAGCATAAATATTCACATATAAAATGCTGTTGTATTTAGACAGACAAATTGGCTGAATATTTCAATGCAAAGTAAACAGATAAACAATATTGGGAGTCAAAATTATTGCTTAGATTTACTCCATAGTGCATCCATGTGATTCACATTCGGAGTCTTCCATACTCAAGTATTCCCATTTCATAGTTTTTGCTCAGTATCTAAATAACGAATAATAAACAGCAGCTAAAAGCAAAATTCAATATATATTTATTCAGATATTATGCCACCTCTGAGCACCTTTTTATCAGTCTCCTTCACCAAGCGTCTTTTTGCAAGCTACCTTTGCCAGGTGTCTGATAAGACCAAATTCAAGGTGAGTTTCAAACATAATCCTTAGCATCACATACAGCTGCAGGATTACAATATTGTACCAACTCCCAATATATTGGATAGCAACAATCACTAAGGATGTGATGTCACATTGCAGCTATCATAAGACTTTCTTCACATTTATTCTATGGCGTATCATACTTAAGTTTCACCATGATATTGTATCACACTATTTAATCACAGTGGCAGTAAAGACTAAAGGAACCACCTGGAAATGCTCTAGCTTTTCTTATTGGTTTGACACTCTAAAAAAAAATCTTTTTTGACGATAATTTCATTATTTTTCATACCAAAATTCTCCGTTACAAGAACGGCAGGGACTGACCACACAGCAAAATAGTGTCAACCAATCGGTCAACTAAAACTTGAAACCACTGAACAAGAGGCCACAGATCGCAAGGAATTAATTCCACCGTGAGAGTTCTGCAAACTTTCTCCCCAACCCCAAAGGTAAGTCGTGTAAATTCACAATTACTTTTCTTTCTTTGGCATCACATTTCTTGCCACTCAGTTCGCCATATGTAACTAATACTGTACTAATTTCCATTAAAAAAAAGGCTTTATCGAGAAGTTGACTCAACAAAACCACTATTATGATGGAAGGAGTTTGCGAAACTAAGGGAAGTCTAAATATGACCAAGATTGGGTAAAACTTTGAATCCGCATTTTGTATAAAGTTTAAGAGACAAGTGATGCTTGTATTTATGTGTAAAGTTGCATTTGTGTAGCGCCCTTCACAGGGGGTAAAATCTCAAGAGAGATTTACCAGCACCCGGTCAGCCTCAGAGTCAAACTAAAATAAAAACACAAGGGGGCAAATGTGAGGATGGCTCAGATCTGCATTTGATTTCTGACACAATGATATTTTTAATTGAGACGAACGTGGGCAAAGGTCCAAACATGGAACTGAACGCACTGGAAGGAGTTCATGAAATCAGCACCGCATTGGAACACCGCTCTGATTCTGAGACACGACGCTGCCGTCGCTGCTTCGGGACCCGAACCGATTGCCACCGGGAAACATGGGTCAAAAGGTGGGTCACAGCGGACACGTGTCACCCAGACCACTGGTCACTGTCCGCCACAGGGACGGGAGGCAGCCTCCTGCCCGGGGGGGGGGGGGGGGGGGGGGAGTGGGGGGGATTAAGCTTCGGAGCAGAAGTTAAAATAATATTTATTAACAATAATAATAATAATAATGTGGTCACTCAGTCCGGCACTGCTGGTGGGGCCGTCGCTGGGGCGCAATCGGCTGCCGCACATTACACACAGTCACTACACTTTCCGGTGTATCCTGTGAAGCGCTTTCAGACGGTCTCCAGGACCGGGTCACCGTTCGGGACGGTTGTTGCTGTCGTTGTTGTTATGCGGGAGGGGAGCGGGGCCTCGGGGCGCTGCCGTGTGCGAGTCCCTCACACACCGCGCGCGAGGCCCGACCTCTCCCTCCGTCAGTCGGTCACTCAGTGAAGGCCCGAGCTCGGGGGGGGGGGGGGGGGCGGTCTCTACAGTGAGGGGAAAGGGGACGGCAGTTAAGGGAGGGCGGGGAGAGCCTGGACTGGTACCTCACGGCCCCCCCCGCCCGGGCTCGAGGCCTTACCCGCTGCCCCTCCGCCCCGTCCCGCGCTGTGCGGCCGCTTCCAACTGTCACCGCTCGCGAGCAGCCACCGCGCAGGCGCACAGCCGCCCTCAAGCCCCGCCCCCCCGCGCGGCTGCACTGCTGCAGGACCGGCGGCTGCCGGGAGGGGGCGGGGCCAACAGGTCAAGGTGGGGGGGCAGTGTGTGTGGGGGTGGGGGGTGGGGGGGGCTGTGTGTGGGGGGGGGGGGTGTGGGGTGGGGGGGGTGGTGTGGGGGGGGGGGGGGGCAGTGTGTGTGTGGGGGGGCAGTGGTGTGGGTGGGGGGGGCAGTGTGTGTGGGGGGGGGGGGGCAGTGTGTGTGGGGGGGGGGGGGGGGGTGGTGGGGGGTGGGGGGGGCAGTGTGTGTGTGGGGGGGGGTGGGGGGGGGCAGTGTGTGTGGGTGGGGGGGCAGTGGTGGTGGGGGGGGGGGCAGTGTGTGTGTGGGGGGGTGGGGGGGGGCAGTGGTGTGGTGGGGGGGGGCAGTGTGTGTGGGGGGGCAGTGTGTGGGGGGGGCAGTGTGTGTGGGGGGGGCAGTGTGTGGGGGGGCAGTGTGTGTGGGGGGGGGGGGGGGGGGCAGTGTGTGTGGGGGGGGGGGGGGGGGGGGCAGTGTGTGGGGGGGCAGTGGTGGGGGGGGCAGTGTGTGGGGGGGCAGTGTGTGGGGGGGGGGGCAGTGTGTGTGGGGGGCAGTGTGTGTGTGTGGTGGGGGGCAGTGTGTGGGGTGGGGGGCAGTGTGTGGGGGGGGGCAGTGTGTGTGGGGGGCAGTGTGTGTGTGTGGGGGGGCAGTGTGTGTGGGGTGGGGGGGCAGTGTGTGGGGGGGCAGTGTGTGTGGGGTGGGGGGGGGCAGTGTGTGGGGGGGTCAGAGCGGTGTACAAATATACAGTGATCCAGGACGCTGTTCCGCTTGTTGTTGTTCATGTAATTGCTATAATATAATCCCGGCCTCTGACCTGAGACATCTCAAAGCGCTTCCCAGGACAGACTGTAAAGTGTAGTGACTGTGTGTTTTGTGGGCAAAACGCGGCAGCCGATGACGCACAGCGACGTCCCCACAAACAGCCGTGGGTTGAGTGAAGGAATTATTACCCCCAGGAAAAGCCCCCCCCCCCCCCACGCCAATCCACTAACAGCTGAGCTCCCACTGACCGCTGCTAAGCGGAGCCGCGGGGAGTGAGGCGCAGGGAACAGAATAGGTTTTGTTGTTGGTCACAGCCGGTGTCCGGCACATGCGGAGACCCATCACTGTGCAAACCAAACTGAGATTCTCAGGTATCTCACCTACATGTGGGAATCCCTGACCTCAGATTGTTGGAAGGGAATGGAACGGGCACTCCTTCCACTGCTTTTACCTGATTCCGGGAAGATTCAGGTGAGAATAGAGCAATAAATGGTGCGGTGGCATCAGTTCATTCTTAAAGTGGAGAGGAGAGAAAGATGCATTTGGCCGTTACTAATAAGGGATGGGTGGAATCTCTAAATGGAGAAAAGATATTTCAAATGCTCTGCAGTAGACACAGCAACCAACCATGGAGAACTGAAATAGAAATGTAGGAAGGGGAGTTGTGGGGACCTATAGTTTTGTAACAATCATAACTAACCAGATTCTCAACACTTCCTCGGACAATTTAATAACTCACTAAATCCATGAAATAAACCAGGTACATTACGATACATTTTATTACAAACTAGCTTTAAAACTGAATAAAAATATTTTCTTTTTCTGCATTGTTAAATGTAGGTTTTCCTGAGGCCAAAATAATTAGTCTAGACCAGTTTATACAGTACATACAGGCTTTTGTACTAAGTCACTATAGGTTACTATGTAGTTCTGTATTTTACTTTGATTAAAGAACATCTTCTGAATTCCATAATTGGGTTGAGGTTTTCAATTCTATTCCAGTTACCCCGTTATTCTCTATGTAATGCAATTGGCCTGGTATTTATATTAGAAATCACCAGAATAAACTTAAAACATTTTAAAATAATGTACATATGTAGTTGCAGAACACATTGAAAAGCTTTTGACATACCAAGTAGAAACAGTTTATTAAAATAGTAAAGATGTATTGTAGTCTGAATAGTTAAACAAAAGAAATGCAGATCATTGTCAGTTTAGTTATTTTTTATAAGCAATAAATACAAAATTAAAGCAAGTGCAGTCTTAGGCCAAACATTTATTTCTTGCTTTACAAGAAATAAAAATTAACTATTGCAAGCCACATCAACAATTGAACTCCATGGAAGCAAGATATTTTCAAGACGTGTGTAATGAGTAATACCAAAAGAAATCTAATATTCTTGTAAAATAAATGTCAAAACTTGTTTCAGGAGTTTCCCATTTTCAGCTTAATTTGATAATTTTGTTCCATAAACATTTAATATTTGCAAAAGGCTTTATATATCATATACTTTTGGCACGTTTTTTAAAAAATATATCAACGCACATGCTTTCACTCAAGTCCAAACTACTTGATCAAGTTCAAACTACTTCTAAATACATGTTAGAGATTATATTTAGTCCAATATCTAATCATTTGAAAATCTAATGTTTGCATTGTCATTTAAAGTTTGGCCTCAGGCGTTTTTGAAAATAATGGAACTCAATTAGTCATTAAATAACATTCATTATTGGTTTGATTTCTTATACATTTTATCACCATCATTGCCACTTGGTAACCAGTTCTGCATTTTAGAAAACGGTGGCTCAATACAGTAAAATTCAAGTAAAGCATCAAACCCGCTTCCCAAGAAATACAAGGGGGAAGGCATTTAACATGGACCAGTGCAGTACAATTCTGTCCAAAATTGCAAAACAAATAATGATAGTGCTGAAGTACCTCCAGAATGAAAAATAGGTATTGTGTTGTTGACTGTTATTTGGTGCTCCTGCCCCAAAAGAACTGTTGCCTGCGTAGACATTAAAATGGATGCAGAACCCGAAATGCAACATTTAACACAGAAATAAACTTGCTGCTCACTGAAGAGAAGTCAGTGAGATTCCTAAGATTTAACAGTAAGCTTAGTCTCTTAGTAACCATCAGATGGACCATTCATAGTGGACGTTACTAATCCAGAACATAATGCAGGGTCCATAAAAAAACAGTATTTTATCTAAATGCTGCAAATTTACCATACTGCTCAGCAGATTATATAAATGCAAAAATATGCTTTGAAATTGAATCCTACTAAATTAACTTTTTAAAAAAATATTTCATTCAACTATCACCTTGTTGGATATTTTCCAAACTCAATTGAGATATACAAAAGAAACATATTAAACACAATGAATAAATTACATTTGGAAGTGCAACGTTTGAAGCCTTTCTATTAGACAATAGTTACACAGCCAAAGTAGAATGAGTCAGCAACTAACAGAAATGTCCTTTGTGAAGTGTTTAATAGAAAAGTGCGGAAATCTATTGATAATGATCTTTGGAAACTGTATGCTCTATTGGACTAACACCAGCACAGATTAGTGATCAAACCTCGGCCTTCCCAGTTTATATTGTTCAGCTACGTACTGTAAGTGTAACAGAAGTATATATGAAATTGACAGAAATTACAAGCAAAACAGGCAAAATTTTGCACGATTCCTGAAAGCATTATTTGTGCTAATTGGGTAAATTGGCACCAGGAATGCTTTAAGGAATCATACAGATTTTGTCCTAATACTTCAACATCCACTTGGTCAGAAATTCCAACGGACCCTTTGCATTTGGGCAGAAGAATGGCAATCTTGTTAAAAAAATACTCAGATGTTGTGTTCTATCTAGGTTAGTACCATGGTATCAGAGTCACATGGCTGCTTTTTGAAAATATATCATATAGTAGATGACACATTTGAAAGTATTTCACATGAATACCCGATAGTAACATAAACACTTAGTGGTTGGAAGGAATTCACATCAGCCACATTACCCAGAGTTTAGAGAATTGTTTCACTAACTAGCCAAATCTTTTCAGCTAGATGATCTTGTTGTAAGATCACTATATTTTAATATCACTCTCAAATGTCAGGCAAAGAAAATGAATAAAAAGCTACAAAATTAGCTTCTTTATTTTGAAGTTAATAATTTTGACTGGAGAAACTGTATTAAAAGAGGAAGAAAATGACCAGATTGTGCCTTAGGTATTCTATACAAACTATATAAAATATTTATCTTAAGGTTTTTGATTGCACATGCTTATCCATTATATTGCTTAGGATCCAAAGAGGAAAATATACAGGCACTCAATGCTACACAAAGGAAGTCTTTGCTTGCACAAATATAATTTTTGGTTAATAGTTGAAATAAACATTGTAGCACTGACTTGCAAGTCAACAGTTTGCACAAGCTGGTATTGCACTTCAAGTTAACTACTGCATTATTTGATACCAGGGTCAATTGTAATTCTGTTCCCAGTATTCAGTGTTTAAATGTTCACATATATTTATTGATTCTTACTTATTGTGAGACAAAACATTCATGAAACATGTGAGAAATGTCATCGAGGAATGCAAAATTATTGATGAATTAAAAACATTAATTTAATGATGGGGCTGAGTCACCTGGAATTCCAGCATATGATCAGTTTTTGTTTTACTGATAATTTAGTTTCATCTAAAACCTGGTTTGCATTCAAGATTACTATACTAGACTATCCAGGCTACTAAAATAGCATTGCAATGATGCTTAATGCTGTCCAGGGTTCTATGATTCCTATGCGACTGATACAGTCTGATTTTGCCTGAAATCTCATTCAGCAGTGCAGTATTGAGTCTGGGTTATCAATCAATCATTCCAGTCCATCTGGACTATGCATTGGTCAGTTCAGAGTATGCTGTCTGATTGTGTGGAAGATCCAATCCATTTTTGTTGTCCAGCCACCATGATGAGCATCATTCATCTGCTTCATGAAATAATCCAGTGCTTCCTGCTCAGTTTTGTCCAGTGCCAATGTTTTACGTATATAGGCAATATCATCAAAGGATTGGAGTTCAGGCATTCCCGAGCCCAGCATCATGGAGAATAAGTTGATGAAGAGATTGGCATGCTGCCGGATTGCCAAATAGGCCTTGTAACATATCTCTTGAAATCTGTAGAAACAAGTCATTAATACAATAATTAAGGAAATTTCCCAGTTAAACTAAATTTCATATAAATACAAATTAGAATAAACAATATCTGGAACTCTAAACATAACAATAGAATGTAATTTCTATATTGAAACTCATCTGAATATTTTCTATGTAAAAAAGATATTCAACAAATTACATTTGTTCTACAATTCACAGTTGAATTAAGAGGAAATAACAAATTAAACCATCAACTTTAAATGAATGATTTATATCACATATGATTTATCGCTGTTTGGCTTTAATGGCATACTGAAACTTTTGTGAGATGACAGTTAACCACAAATGATGCCATTGGTTGCTGGTTTTATTATACAAAATTGATCAAATAAGCAGCTGTGCACAGAGTCTCACAATGATTATATGAATGGTGAATGCCTGTGACAACCCACTACCCAAAATTCTAAACTAAAATTTCCAATTCTGAAGTGCTTTGAATTGAACTTAGTTTCACAAACCGTTTTTTTCACAAGCAGTTTCATGGGATTAAATCAGAGGATACTAATATACACCAATAACCTTGTACCTATGATCTCAAACGATTTAGTTATAATAATGCTAATGAATTAGCTTATTTTTTAACAGATATAGATTTAATCACATCTTCTTCTTACCTCTCAAACTCTCTTGTTTTTGTACATTCTTGTGCTCCTTTACTGATGACTATTAAAAAGTCTTGAGTTAGAACAAATGGCACACGTTCACGTTTGTAACCAAATTTCTTCTTTTTGTGATCCAAGAAATGACCAAAATCTATGTGGAACAGCTGGAAAGTTCAAACACTAGTTTGTTTTTGTTGCCAGTTTATGGTAGTTACACACTTACTTTTAAATAGAATCTACTTTACCAACAATGGGGTCTCAAGACAATGACTTAATGACTTTTAAAAATACTGAAGATTAAAAATTGTGTTTGGACGATTTTTCCTTCCAAAAAAATAAAATGGTAAGATCTAGAAAATAACAAGATGCAATTCCTGGCCACTATACCAACTGATAAAACATGTCAGAAGCAAACAAATATTTAATCTAAATAATATTGAACATGACACAGGCATAGATTTTCATACTTGGGGTGTAATGAAGCTTGCAATTCCAGCTTCAGGGATTCATAGGTCAGGTAAACCTCAAAGCTCGATTTACAATATTGTGTGCTGGAGGAAGGGACAAAAAAAAACTCAAATTGCATAATAATAATAATTATTATTAAATTGCATGGTTTTCTAGTGGGACAAACTTGCAAAATTAACTTGTCTCTCTTCTGCAAATAGCAATTAACCTGTTGAGATTCTTTCGGTTTAATAACTTAATAATATTTTTTAAATAAATTGCAGTTAAGAGTCTGAAAACAGAGAATTAACCAATAAACTGCCCAGTCTATTTGTACAATGACCATGAATCTTATCAAAAGGATCCTTACCTAACCCCTGTAGAACTAATTCACTTATTCAACATTCCACTGGCTAATCTTCATGACAGTTTTACCAGGAGATAACTAATATTTTTGTGTTTTATATAATAGGAGCAACCTTTGCAAATGTCAATTACGATTTATGTTCCGTTTTAAGAGTTGTCCTGGCCACTAACATGGGATGATCATTTTGGACATCAAGTGGAATTCAAAATCTATTTGTCATTAATTTACTGTATAAATATAATACAGTATAATGCGATACTGAATTTATCAACCTATAAGGACTTGGGTAGGAACCCTTTCTTACATCTGGAATATTTTGTCTGGGGAATCTCAATGATAAAGCTTTACTAAATTTATTTAACATATTTAATCATTGCGAGCTAGTCTGAAATAAGTCTGCACTAATTTCTAATATTACTGAACCAGAATTGGTTTTACCTGTCCATCATCTTTCACCATGATGTTACTGTTGTGGCGATCACCTATCCCAAGGATGAAGGTGGCAACACAATAACCAGCACATGAACGTGTAAACAAATCAATGGCTCCATCATAACTAAAAAACATAAAACAAGAGGCCTTGTTTATTAAATCTGCATATTAACAGCCCACCCTGATTCAATGTAATCACATCCTTGGTGGTCTTGAAAGTGAAAACACAATTTTTTCAACAATGATACTTAGTTTTACAAATTGTGTTTCCCTTTACATTCTTTGCTCTTGCTAAAACATTCAAGAAAAACAAACCTCAATCTTGTTTCTCAAGTTAAGATTGTAAAATAGTTAACTAAAAGAAAAATGTACTGTAAATAACTCAGCAGATACACTTACCCTTCTCCTTTATTTTTATCCTTTAGCCACTGGTGCAGAGTATGGCTGTTGAACTGCAGCGCCCCCTTCAGGCCGCCCTTACACTGAATTTGCATGATTGTGTGTGAGTTTCTTACTACCTCAATCAGCCCAACGCAGTCACCAATTGATAAACAGCCATAAGGCAGCATCCTGTAGAAATGAAACACTAACCATTAAATGCATTCCTTGAAAGTGAAAATTACCCCAAAGACATTAGGTCTTCATAGTCTGAAAACTACAGGTCGACCCTGTTATAATTAAGTGGTTCTGGTCAATTTATTCAAACCCACATTATAATGGGGAACCAAAAAAATTGCTGATGCTACTACCCCAGAGAGAGAGTGCACATTCCATTCCAACATTTTATCTCTGGGATTTCGACCTGTAGGTGGGATGCAGAGAATTCTCAGTTTAGTTTGGATACTTTTAAGCATGGTGATGGGTTTCTACACTATGTTTGTCACTCATTTAGATTTTGAAACATAACCCATCATTCTATGTAGCTGACAGCAGAATCAGCAGTCTTGTACTATAAAGGGCTTTTTTCTCATCTTTCCAGGTGCTAGTTAAGAATGACTGTCATTTTTGCAGATAGCTCTTTGGGCTAAGTTAGTTTAACCTTCCGAGGACCACCCCACCTTCAGATATTAATTCTGGTTTATAATTAAAATTCTCCATTCTCAAATTCTCTGCTCATTGCGAGTTTCTTCGGGGACCTGGCAGGCAGTTCGGCTGGTTGTGTGGCTCTGCCACATTTTCCCCTAATAGAGATAAGTTTATTTTGATGATATATTTTACTTACGGGGATGTGTAGAATGTGAATTTGTACATTGTAACCGAAGTGATGAAATAAAGGTGGTCCCTTATTCACATTTTGCATGGGAAACGGCGGGGATTTTGACAGTAAGGGTAATATAAGCCATGTGATAAAATAAGCCAGTGTTTTATTATCAGGAGTTCACTGTGTACACACCAAAATAATTTCAGATTACCTGAGGTCAAGTCCTTGAATCTGCCAGATATTCTCCATGATTCGTATGATCTGGAGTGTCAACATATCCTGGCGCAAATCTGCAATAAACAACGGTACATTTTTAACCTCAGGCAGAATAGTTTCATTTTTGAGTGATGTTCAACTTCTAGATAAAATTAGAAAATAATTTCACTCATTCCAAAGCTTAATTTTGAAATACACTAAGAACGTTGTGAATTTTGAGCATTAGATGACATTTCCATTTTCTTGACTATTTAAACAATTCTGTCTATTTTGCACCTTGATGAATAATCATTTCATGAAAACAAATGAAATCATTTCATCAAGCTCCATGCAGTCTATATTTGAAGGCTGACTAACATTATAATGATTATCATCATCATGGGTAGATCAGATGCTACATCAATGAACTTCATTGAAACCGCTTGAACCATCCACTGAACTATTCCAGAACTTTTAATTATAATATTGGTCTGGATGAAGAAAGCCCTTTGACCCATCTGATCTCATCCCTTCAAAGCACCCACCCCACTGTCCTCCCATGACTGCAACAAGCTGCGTTTTAAATGAGTCTTGTGTCCTGTCCTCTACCACCTTTCCCGGCAATCTGTTCCGTCATTGATTACCCTTTGAGTAAAGGAAACCTTCATGGTATCTATCCTGAAATTACCCTTTACAACTCTAAACCTATGTCCTCTTTTTCTATAGCCTGAGTATGACATCTGGCAATCCAGCAATTTAGCCCAGGGACTTGTTTTGTTATTCAGGAGGTAATTGTGCAACCAGCTCAATAATACCATTAAAAAAAATGGTATGTATTCCAGAGCTCTGTTGAAATGTTAATCTGTGTATCATTCTAAACCGGATCCCAAGAACAATAGTTATTTGAAGTTATTAAAAACATTAGAACACTAGTCGTACATGGGGAAGGGCTGAACTCAATTATTTTGATTGTGGAATGAAAGAACCTCATGGAGTTACAAAATATTCTGGCACAATGTTTCACAAGAGTTCTTCTGACAGGATATGACTGTATGTGAAAAAAAATCCCCAAAATACACAATTTAATCAATGCCAACCATTTCATCTCAGTAAAGATTAAAAACAATCTGTAAATTTCCTTCTATAAAAAGAACCACTATCATTAAGTGACATATGTTATGTAACAAATACTTTCAGAATATCACAACATGGTAGGAACCATAATACTGTGGGTTGAGAGACATCACAGCAATCAAATGGCTATTGTTAAAAACATACTATTTTGCAACTATTTGTCCATTGTACTTACCATCTCCATTTTTGAAAATGATCTCATTATTCTGAAACAGTAACTCAGACATGATGTCTGGGTTCTCCCAGTTTAACCATAGTGGTCTTTTTGCTGATGACATAATTCTGCATTCTTCAAGCCTAACAAAGACAAAATGGCACAAAGCTTGGGATTTCTAAGGGAAAAGCACATTAAGCTTTGTACGGTGGAAACTCACGAATAAAGATCAGCAAATGAATAAGAATTTTAACCACATTAGCAGGTTGACTAATGAGCTTGTATTACTGGGCTATATAAAGCTGAAATGAAAAAGATTGCAAAAAAAGAACCTCATTAGTGAATTGATCACACAAGTATGGGGGGGAGGGGGGGTGCGCATAAGGCAAGATACTATTATTTGAAATACCTCTAACTTCTCAAATTATACCAACGGGTTATGTTTGGCTTAGCTATCAGAAGCAAGTTTTGCAATTTTATATGATAAAAAATAACTACTTGCACTTCAACTTTCATATCTTCACCAATTAGATTAGTAGTGATCTTCACTCCTTTGAGAGAACCGTCATATTCCTGATCTAGTCTCATGATAGCAACACACAGCCTTCATATAAAAATTCAGATAGAAACAGCCAGAATCATAATATAATAAAGTATTGAAAATGTTTTTCAAATCATTTTTCCTCAGAAGTAATTAGATCTTGCCAATACTAAACTATTAATTAAATCCGAATGAGTTTTTTCAAGATTATTTGTAATTACTCATCTGACTGAAGAAAAACTGACTGGAGAGACCTACTTCCACATAGCTTGAGTATACATCCTGACATTGACAGTCTATGGAAAATCTTATGGCCTGGACAGCCAAACATCTCTGCAGTATATCAAGACCTAAACAATATGTCCAAGTTATGATCAGAATTCACCCATCTACATGAATGATTTCACTCTTTATGGAAATGCTAACCCAGCAATAGTATATCTCAAGTCAGAGCATTTTTCCTCACTGTGGGTAGTCAAATAGTTAGCTGGAATATCTGCAGTACTTTGCATTTTGCAAATAGTTAGCTGGAGCAGTTCACACTTCATTTGACTCTCAACCTGTTGAGCATGATCTTTGAGTTCTTCCGACTAGAAGGGTTCTTTTTCCAAAACTATAATAGAAAGTTTATCACGGATTTAACACCAGGAATAATTCTAAATTGCTGGTTATTTTGCAACAATGTAGTCTACCTCAGATTTCCAAGCTGGTGAGCAGGGTTGAGTGGAGACATAAAGCCTTGTAATGCATCCATGTAGTCTGGTCTCCTCATTTGTTCGACCAGGAATTTCATCTGCACCTTAAATACAAATACAATTTTTGACTCATAGGAACACAGGAAAATAGGCATAGGAGGAGGCTATTCATCCATTTGTTCAGGTTCTATCAGTTTATTAGATATTATTTATCTAATATCAGCACCTTGGGATGTCCTACTCTCGTGAAAGGCGCTATACAAATGTAATTTTGTATTGTTTGTTTTAATCCCAATGCGGTAACCCTTTCGACATACCAAGTATCTATTTATCTTTTAAATAACCTATTTAAAGCTGCCTCTACAGATTACTGGGGCAAAGAATTCTAAATCTTCAGAACCCTCTGCGTGAAAAAATTCTTTGTTACCTCTGTTCTGAAGGTCTCAGTTCTGATTTTAACCCTTTGTACTAGATCCCTTTAAAGGGGAAGAGACCTTCATTGCACGAGTTACCTTTTGTGTTTCATCCTTCTTTTCCTGTTTCAGGATATCAGTGAGATTAATCAGTTTTTCCATGGCCTCCACCTGACGACTAAGATGTTTCAGGTACATTCCACATGCTCTGCAATATGACTCCAGAAGCAAACCAAAACGCTGACTCACTGTTTTGTTGTGCATTTCAGACCTGCAGGATAATAATTAAAACCCCAAAATTACACATACAAGCAACTGACAGTTTTCACAACTGGTTATAGAATTAAAGGGGTATTTGAAAGAAATCAAAAGCTGATGGAATTTCCCCTCCGACCTAGGAATTTTAATATCAAATATATTAACTCTAACGCCACTCTAATATCAAATGTAATCAGATTCTAAAATGACAAATTAATGTCAAACTTACTTTAAATGCCAAAAAAAGAAGTGACCTATTCTCTGATTGGTCAGTGCTTTCTTGAGTAAAAACCGTACCAGTGGGTTATCCAAATACTGTTCATACTTAAGAACCTGTGAGTTTCAATAAAAAGAAAAAGGAGCATTTATAAATGGCAAATATGAGTGAGTATTCACACAACATGGAAAATCTTCATACTAAGTAAGTCAGCCATAATTGGATTTTCACAATTCTAGTAATAGTTTAAGATTAAATTGTCAATAATGTCTGTACCTGAACCAACTGAATTAGGTATTGGGAGAGCTTGTCATCAGTCAAACTCTTTTCTAAGCACTTTACTGCAAAATCTCGCACCATGGGATCTGGGTAATTGCAGTCTAAGAGTTCCATGGCTTGCTCTGGCTTGATTGGAGGCCAGTCCTTTAGCAGACAGTACATCTGTGAAATGGATTGTCAGATTTTCAACTCAGAGTCAGCTATCTCATGTTTACTATAATGCTACGACCATAATTCGAACCATACCATGTATTCTTTCTATAAAGGACTATGTGGCATGTTATATTTTGGATCTTAATTACCATATTGAAATTATATCATATACAATCATGCAAAAAAAGTACGTACATCACATCCCAGTAAATACTATCAATTGTTCCATGCAGTGTATTGCTGCACAAACAGAAAATGATACTGTAAACACACTACCTGAGCGACTTCATCTCTTGAGTTCCACTTCACAGATAGAAGCAATTTAGGAAGAATTTCAGGTACATTGACACTATAATGCCTACAAGAAAAGACAAGGTAAACCCCTAGATTAGTGCAATATCTTCTTTAACTCTTAGATTTTTAAGTTTCTTCACTCAGTTTTATTTTTGCCATGAAGAGCTGAAGTGAATGATGCATTCAATCTCTGGAGTCAGCTCACCAATACTGTTCTCTCACTTTTGTTATGAGCAGCTCTATACAGGTCAGACAGAAAGCTTGATGTGTTTGAAAATGTATCGTACAAGGCAAAAAAAAATGTTTCCACATGATTTTTTTGTAAACTTACCTGGTAAGCCTTGGAAAGCTTAACAGCTTGTTTTGTCACTGGCCGAGTCACACTCTTGCTGCTGCTGGCTGAAATACATGGGAAACTAGAAATGTCAACTTTTTTTTTTACAATTACACTTCCAATATTTTTTTTAAACCAGTGACTATGAAAAGGAATTCTTTTGCAAATGATTGGTCATCCAGATCTCTGCTTAAATAGCTCAACACATTTCCCCTTCTCTTTTTTAAAAAACACCATTCTCTAGATTTCCATGTATTTTCCCAGCAGCAAGCCATGTAACATCTGTTCACAAAAGTTGCTAATGATGGTTTCACAGTAGTTAATGGTCACTAATAGACAAGTTAATAGCATTCACTTTGAAACTTTTTTTTAAATAAGTGTAGATAAACTAACAAAAACACATTAAGCCTGATACAGGTGTTTTCGAGCAAAGAACTTTTTTTAACAACTGTATAATCTTACGAAGTCAGACTTTCAAGTAGGTATGATATAACAATGTTTTCTGCTCATGAAATATATAACTATAAACAATTTAACACTGTGTTTTCCTGATAATCCGCGCACAACAGCAACAGCACCGTTCACGTCGGAAAGACGTCCCATGGTGCAGGACTTTTGGAGAGTCAGGGATTTTTGGACCCAAGCTGGGAGTTGGGGTTAGGAGGGGTGGAGAGCAGCAGGGGTAGTGGGAATGAGATGGTGGCCAAAGGCACGGTTGAAGAGGAAGGGGGAAGCAAGACTGTGGAGGGCTTTGAAGGTGAGAACGAGGGTTTTGTACTCAATTCTGTGAGTGATGGGGAGCCAATGAAGCTGGGCAAGAACGGGAGTGATTGGTTCGACATATTTGACATCCAAACCCAAATTACTGTCCTGTAGTTTAATTGCCAAATATTCAACTCACAAGTGATTTGGGCCATGTGAGCATACGGAAGAAAAAGCACCTGGGGCTCATACTCTTAATTCTAACCCATTATTCCATATCGGCAAATCTTATAAATAATAGTTTAACACAACATGCATAAACTACATCAAGATCAGAAGCCAATACATAAAAAGCCACCTTCTCTAGCTAAGGAGCTTAGTGGTTAAAGGACTCGCCTCGCAAACGAGAGGACCTGGGTTCGATTTCCGGGTAGGGCAAAATGATGGGCAAGTTTCCTTACTCCACACACCTCTGTATATTAACAGTAAGTAGGAATCTGGTTGGTATTTGATTTATGGTATTTAACTAAGATTTATTGTCTCCTCAAATATTCGTATTCTGGGGGTAATAATCCCTTCAAAAAACATAATTTGGTCACTCAATCTATGACTATTCGTGGGACCCTGCTGTGTTTTGCCCATAAAATACTGTCAATTCACTTTGCAGTATATTCTGTGAAGTGCTTTGAGACGTCTCAAAGACACGCTAAGGCGCTATATCAAATACAAGGAATATTATTATTACATCTGGTGGTTTCTTACCCCAATTTGTTAACCAAAATTTACACACACACCACCAAGATTCTTCACCTAAAAAGCCACAAAGCTCAATGTCCAAACAAAAAAACTTTAGTATAATTTTGCAACCAAGTATCACTTAATGTCTATACCTGTGTCTCCATAAGAAATCTTTCTCTTGCTCTGTGATTTCTGACAAAGGATCTCGACTGCCTATGCTTCGCAGCTGTTCAATGTCACCCTCGGTTAGGTTGCTATCACAAGCTATTCTGTTACTCTGTAAAATAAAATGTTTGTGATAAAGTATATTCAAGCCCTCTCAAAAAATATTCCTATATGGCAAAAAAGTTTTAAACAACGCACACATTTTTTGTTTATCAGATAATTAACAAACACATTTAAAACCCAAACAATATGTAAAATTCTTCAAGACTATGCACATCAACATTTGTTTTTTGTGATCAATGGAAACAAATAGAGTAGTTTGGAAAACTTGATTCATGGTATTTAACTATGATTTATTGTCCCTCATATATTGTATTCTCTAGATCCTTACTATACATCCTTGGAAGTCAAAGACTGTATTAAACTAAGTACTGGGAGCATGAAAGATTCTCATATATAAATGGTGGAAGAGGAGACATTCATTATGTTCCCTCTGCCTCTGAGTTCAGCATTACCCACAATATATACGGAAATAAGGAATGAGAATAAAATTCTAAAAATTCTCATGAATCAAATACCAAAGCAAAATGGGTTATTAAACTAAATCGCTAACACGGCACAGGAAACTCTTTGAAGTGGAACCATGATTTGCCCACTCTTAATTATTAGTGATCTTAAATTCCACTTGTGAGCCCATTGATTCCTCAATACTAGCTTTGTCTGCACGTGGTGCATAATCCACAATGTCAGTGTCCAGTGTACAATTAATCGTTCCTTTCAGAGTACATTCTGTCCATGACTGAATATTTAATAGAGCACTCTCTAATCAGGATTTGTTTTCTTTTAAACACTCTTATGTCCTATAGGGTCTTGTCACAGCATTACTGTATGACTCCATAATCCTGATTATTAAATTTTGGAGTACCAGTCTTCTTTGGGCATTAAGTATCTACCATAGGCCTTGTGCATCAATCCTGAACATCAAATCAGATTTAACCAGCTCCTTTCTTTGGCAGAATATGGTTATACTCCTGATATAAATGAGAAGGAACTTAATATGGCCTTTTACCTGAATTCTAAGTACATTATCCAGTCTATAGATATTACCCATAATCCATCTTCACTAATCTGGAGCATTTGGAATTTGTTGACAAATCATCTACCCGACCCTATTCTGCAATTGCCTGAATTACAAAGAATTGTTTTCAGGTTTCTATATTGCATAACAATGCTGAATAAATACTACATGACCCATACAACATTACTGTCTTAAAACATACCAGTCTCAATCTTCACTCTCCATCTCTTCTCTCTTCTTCCCGCCCAACCATACATGTTAATATATATTATTATACAAGGAAAGCAAATACAAAAATGATAACCAAACTGAAAAGTAGCTAACTGTTAATATTTCAGAAAAAAATTAAGTTCTGAGATATAATTGTCCAACGTATTGACTTGTTTTCAGTGACCTTCTCTGTAGAAGTCACTGATTTTGGTCCTTTCACCCATTTCCCAATTTCCTCACTTTTGTTCCCGATCAGTAAAATTCCTCCTATATCTAAGAGAGTTGAGGTTCTCAGCGGCTATGATCAATAAGCCACAAGTAGCTGAGAGAATGAATGCTTCTGTGAAATTGTACTGCAGAACTAGCTTTACAGCTTTTTACTTCCACTAGCCATTTCGTTACTCAAGATTCTAAACATTGTAAAATGATCAATAGCTTTCCAGTATACTTTTACACAATCTGGTCCACTGGTTTCCAAATGTTCTTTATTGCATTTTTCTTACCAGTCCAACTAGGCAGTAGTTATATCCCAACTCTCTAGACATGGTCCAATTGGCATGGTCCTCAATCATTGACATAGATGGGAATTTTACTGGGCTACTAAACCAGTCAAACTCAAGTTCCAAGCATGGGGTTTCCTGTGGGAAATAATATGTTGCGATTTAAAAGTCCAAGTAAATCTTACAAAAATAAGTCATTCATATATAAACCAATTAGTCTCCTCAGAACTAAATTTTACATAACAATGCTAAATTGTAATTCTAAGTAGTGTATGTTTCACTACTTTTAGATTTTGATACATCAGCAACATTCAAGGTTAGCATTTTATGGAATATTGGTGAATTCCAAACCTTATTAGGATTTGATCCAGTAACTCCGATTGGGTTCAGCAAATCCTCCATCCCATGAGGCACCGGCCATAAGTTCAATGCCATCTTACTGGAGACCAAAGTATCTGTGTAATCAAAGAGGTTCACATTTCCCCAAGCCAAAGGACAGTGTTCCTACAATAAAAATCAACATAAGGTTTGGTATAAGTGTATTGCCACATTGCAAAAGATCAAATATTGCATTATTTTAATTTTTACATAAGTTTTTTTTTTACATTTTTACATCACCATCCCATGCTTTTAAAACTTCAAAAGCTTCTCCAACAATTAAACTTTATATTAATTTAATGTCCTTACATTTTCAAGCTGAGCAAGTCCTTCCAAGCATCATTATTATCCCAATGATGATCATTTCATCATCAATATACATATTTAAAAATGTAGACAAATTATACAAGTATGTTAAGATTATCAGAATTGTAAAAGTTTAATTGAAAGCTATCAATGCATAGCTTTCAAAAAACCCAACACTTTTTCTGGTTTTGCTCCTACATATTCATGAAGTAATATTTAATTTTACAACTGCAGTGTTGCATTGCCTCTTACCTCTTTGGCACCTTTTCTGCCTTTGACTGAACAGATGGAAAGGCAAAGCCGAGCTGCACGTGGAAGATCAGGAATGTATATATCATAGGTAAGCCACTCATTCCACCTAGTGCAGAAAATTCCAATAATCAGATTATAAAGATGACAATTAGGAGAACACATGAAAATGAATACCTAGATTTGAATCTTACATACTGCATAACGCTAAACCATCCTATGAATATTCATAGCAATAACATTTTGTTTGTCTATTCTTGGCCAATGGACAAATCCAGAAACACTTATCTTTGCTTTTAAGAAAACATTAGCATTAGGAAACCATGAACAACATAAAAACCCAGTAACTAAAGCCAGACAGTATTCAAATTCAGTGCAATGTTACTGTTCCCAATTTTAGTAACTACTTAGTATGGTGAAATGCAGAATATTTTATTTGGTAACTTTATTTTTATTTTATTTGTATTCTAACTTCTTACCTGGGATTTGAACAAGGTACTCTTTGTGTGTTCACGTTATCGCACAAGGGGTCACCTCCATGGTATATACCCGTTCTTACATAGATCTGAACATCGACAAGACATAGGTATTTTAAGATTATATTTGATGTTTTAATACTGCCTTCAAATTAACATATTTCAATTTATTATTGTACAGTAAATACCTGAATCTTACCTTATCAATATCTCTAATATTTACATTTACATATGTTGCGCACAGAATTTTTATTCTCAGTACACTGTTAATTGCCCAAAGGAACTTGGCTGAAGCTTCTCCGTTCATGTAGGGTGTAGCAGTGGAGATCCGTCGTGCATAAGAAGGGATGGTGAATGTGTCCAGTGGCAGTTGAGTGTACAAACTATCTTTAGTCATGAGCATCAGATTAGGCATTCGACCAAGGATGATACAACTTTTTACATACTGTAACAGTCAAAGACAAAAATATGAAACATAAGTTGCAATGCCACAGTTGAATAGCAATCAATTATAATGAACAGGCAAGAACTAAATATTCAGAAAGACCAAATAATGTATTTACTCATCTTCATCTTCTAGAGCTGCTGAAATTAATTATATAGTTAACTATTTAAATATTTTGGACAATTAAGTTTAAAATCTAGAAATCAGCAGTATTTCGAAGAAATCCAAATAACACAAATTTTAAAACTAAGACTTTAAAGGTACAGCTGTCTCATGCCTTTTTTTTGTCTCCATGATACTACAGTTTCTGTCTATTGCTGGCCTTGTGAATATTTACTGTCCCTCCTGACAAGGGACAAACCCAAGACAGGGGCAATTCTTCGCCATTCGGCAGCGAAACAATACAATGCACATATACCGAAGCCAGAAAGTCGGTATTTTCCTCTAGCATCCTAACATCCTTGATTCGCTGTTCTGCAAAACCTGCTATCAACATTCTCAAATCATATCATGATTAACATGTCACATTTAACATAAAAATCGATTTCTAAATATCACTTTTTCAAACGCGTAGTCAGTTTTTCTTTGCAGTTGCCTCTAAAACCAGCCCCAAACTATCCAAGTATATTACAATGAAAATGTAAAGATGAAAGTTTCAAACACAAGTCAAACCCTATCTCCTGAAGGTAATGAAATAATGCTTTAACACGGAGGACAAGAAAATTGATATTTGGCCTCAGACAATCATTTATGTCATGGATGTAGTCAGTTTCTTACCTTGTACTGACTTAATGGATATTTTTCCAGCAAGTATTCATCACAGCCACACACTTTCAGTATGTACTTGCTCTGGTACTCCTGTACACACATTTTCAGCTGTTCAGGTGATAGCAACATACTCCGGGTTTTCTTCCGGATTGCTTCTGCAATAACCTGTTCGGGCATGCAATCATGGTTAATCTTCAGAGTGTATTTCTGTTTGTCATTGTTTGGAGACACGATAACCCAAATCACCACAATTATTTGACCTGAAAGGAAATGACAAGTAAGATATTGTACAAATAAGACTCTCAAAATTATAAGTGCTATATCAAATCCAATGATTATTAGCTAACAAATTCCCTCTTGAATTTGCTGACGTAATATACTTCTACTGCCTCCCAGGGTAGTCTATTCCACCCTAATCACATTTATCAGTATGCATAGTTATTCTCCCATTTATCAGTTTGGGTATATTGTGGTACAAGCTACTAGGGTAGAAAGTATTTTAAATTATCACAATACATTAAAAATATACAAATGACATTAGTTAAAAACAAATTTTACTTTCAGTCACATAAACAAAATTTAATTTGGTACTATGATAGGTGATGAACTGACTTACCTTTATCCAGTTTATTGCTGATATGTTTGGGTAGTTCTGGGGACGATTCTACATTGGAAGGATAAACATACAATGCTCGACTGTTGGCACCATTTACATCACGTAATTCCACTGCTTCTTTACAGACACTAAGTATGTTTCTTCTGAAATCCTGGACCTCATGATCCTTCACAAGGTCAAACTCACAGACTGGCATCCCAATAGCAAAGCCTATAATAAAGCACGTCAGTGTTAAGCAGCGCTCTTCAACAGGCATCTGGGGTACATTAAAATAAATCTTTATTTGCACAGGGTACCAAATGGTCAGTTTGGGTCAAGCCAACCTCCACTGTGTGAAGAGTTCTATTACACTCTGCTCTTCCTTGTCTGCTATTCTACTTGCACAGTATAATGGTTTGTTTCAAAATTGAAGCAGTTTCACTAGCCTCAAAAAATATTTTGTCACTCATTTGTAAAGTAGTGTAGAATTAAGATTATCTCTTATTTATACTGTACTTAACACTATTTATCACATCCAATTTATTGTAAAATAATATAAAGCATGTTTCAGGGTCACGGTTTGGATTCCTAGCATTACTCATTTAGTGAATGCAGTCCATCAAATGACAAAACAGGTTCCATAATATTAAACATTCTTCAAATGTACAAACACTGAAATAAGCTTACCAATTTCTCTATTTAGAATCTTTTCTTCTCTGTTTCCCACTGGCTCAATAACTTTCAAAAATGGTTGAAAAAGTCGAAGGTCACACAAACGACGCGTTTCATCATAAAATTCCTCTCGTTCTGCCTCTTGTGTTACACTAACAAAAATGTATGAAGATTCATCCTGAAGCAGCTGGTGCAGGGGATACTTTCTAGCTTCCTTAAATAGATCATGTTTAACACTTACAAGTGTGGCCTCACGGAGGCATTCTAACGTCACTATCATTCCATTTGGCAGTAGACAGTCCACTAAAATCCTTGGGGGCATCAAATGTAAACCCCAGAGTTCACCTGATGATGGTCTAGGTGGCATTTTGCTCCCACAAATTAGAAAAACGTTGTATTGAGAATGCTAATATTCTAACGTGGTACCTAGAAGAAAAAAAAGGAGAAGAGAAACCAATTACTTGCGGCACATATATTGAACAATTTATATTTCTACCTCAATGGCCTTCAAGCAGATAATGCAATAGTTACCAAGGTATGAAATGCACCAAACGTAATGCGTTTTGAATGACATGTCAACCCCATTACTTTCTATACCTCAGATTGGGATGAGAGGTGAACTCATCATCTGTACATTTTTAGTACCTACCATCGACTTAGTTGGCTCAAACCTGTGCTTGTGACTATCTCCCTGGGGGGAAAGTAATTTTTCTTAACACGTAACTGAGGCATACATCACTTCACAGGCATATTCACTGTATGTGATCTGAATAATGGTCCATCTCACACCACAAGACTCATTAATTCCACTAAGATCTATTCATTTAAAGCTGAACAATGGGTAGGGCCCAGGGGAATGCATAGCAAGTGAGAACAATGCCCTTTTAAATATGGGATCCAAACATTTCCTCACTGTTGTCCAACATCATTTGTCTTGTCCTGTACATAGTACTTAGAACATACAATAGGCTACAACTATATATGTCATCCAGCAAAATGTCAAGAAAAATGCAAGCTTGGCCATTTAAGGATCCATCCCTTTATACTTTGTATCTTGAATTTGCTTTTCATTATACCCATTTTTTGATCCACTTTGAATATATTTTTAAATTGCTAAAATATTCATGTCCATTCATAAAGGTTAGTTGGATAGAACATAAAACAGCAGTGAAAATAAATGACAATACTGTTCTAACCGTAATATGAGCTAATGCCAAAATAATTCAAGCGACAATAAGAGCTTATGATAGGTAGATTTTTTTTTGTTTTCACTAATTCAGCACAGATCCTAAATCAAACCAGGGAATTTCCAGGTTCAAATAGCTGAGTCGTACACCAAACCATGGGGAAGCCTAGTTAAACTATTTTTGAAACAAATTTGCTGACCTAAGCTTACAATGGAAAGTACAATAATGTGAATACAATATTGTTCTAACAATGAGAGAAAAAGTTTTCTCCTCTCTCAAATGCATTTTAAACAAGAGTTTCGAACAAGTTCAATAATCTAACTACCTGTTCTACATAGCTTTATGTATTGCTCCAAACCACTTTTATAAACAATAGTCAAAAACATATCTTACCCAAGAACTTAGAAGACTCATTAAAATAAGTCATTAAGGTATAACACATTATTACCCAGAAATTAACATGCATATGAATTGATCTGAAATGTTTCCATAAAGTATAATAACTATTATCAATCAATATTCTTAAACTCTTGGTTACAAGCTACATAAAATAATAATTCTTGCATTTTATATAGCACCTTATCACGTTTGTTGAGACGTCTCAAAGCGCTTCACAGGATATACTGTAAAGTGGATTGTGGGAGAAACGTGCCAGTTGCACAACTGCATGGTCCGACAAACAGCCATGTGATCATTTTTTTTACTTGGGGACACAAAGGGAAACTTCCTTCTCTTTTATGGAGAAATAGAATTTTTCATGGCAGGATCCCGGATATGAGGAAAAATTGTAAGGAAAGGGAACAACATATGTCAGTGCAATTTTAAACCAATGTTACTGAGCACTTTCAAATACAGTGGGTGCAACTTAGATAAGTATAACAAACATTTAAATTTGGTAGTAGTATGTCATACACGATACAATGCATTCTCACAAAAGATTGACACTCAAATTCAACATACTGACATCTGCTCCTTAGTTTCTCTTAAAATAAAATAAGCCATTAACAGATACTGTAATTATCTAAGCAAATAATGTTTCAGGGGAAGCATTTATATCTTTCAAAAGTGCAGATTACAATTTGCTGCATAACACTTCATAACATATGATTTCTTATAGTGTTTATAAAAGCTTTACCTAGATTGAAGTGTACAGTTTTTAATCCTGCACAATAATTATGTAAAATATATTTGTATGAAAGTTAAGTGGTGTAATCACTGGGCAAGATACTCAACACATTCACATTGTATTTAAATCCTACTAAGTGCATAAAAATCCTGCTTCAATTTTCCATTTACCCAGCTAGGAAACAAACTGGTGGAGGAATTCCATCCTCCTCATGGTAGACAGCAAAATGTTCCAGATTATGCTGTCCAAATACTATAAAGTACTGTATTGAAAAAGAGTATTCAAGGCTCTGGGATGCTACTCTGTGTGAGGGGCGCTACATAAATGCAAGTTGTTGTTATTGGAAAATACCTTTTTAATTTTTTTAATTTTTAATTTTGTTCTCCACTTAAATGATTCTTAAAATGGTAAGTTAACATCTTGAAAAGAAATGAACCCCCGTACGATAAAACACAAAAGCTTGTATGTGTGATGGGGGTAAAGAGGTACTTTATTGTGTGCAATCAACTGTGAATCTTAAACATATAAATGAATAGGTTACACCACATTTGTACTATAAATCAAACCACCTAACAATAAACTACTGAATATAAATGTTGTCCCACTGGAGAAAACGCAATTTACACATATGTGATGTTTTTTGATTCACAGCACATGCAGAATAAATTCCTGAGTTGCTGCACATTATCAAATATCCTCCACATGACTATAATATCAAAATTACAATTCAGTCAAACCACTTTACAGTATATCCAGTGAAACGTTTTGAGACATCTCAATGACGTGATAAGGAGTACCAAATGCAAGGATTATTACAAAAAGTATTTGTAAACATTTGTAAAAGTATGAGAAGCTTATCTTTTTCCAAAATAAAACCCTGACCAAATTAGTTGCGAACAATTTTAAAGACAACTGACTCAAAAGTCACTGTGCGCTTTCTCTATTCACTGCACTATTGTGTCTGACAAGATATTCAAGAGGATAAAGTATGGTCATGGTTCAAGCATTCCACCGTACATTTCCTAGCGGAAAACTTTCCAAGCTGAAATGAAGTAGTTTACCTTTCAAGATTTTTTTTTAAAAAAAATCTAAAACGGTGGGGTCCCACACACTCCAGAGTACAGTATATGAGATTCGACAGGTCAAGGAACAACCTGGCTCTGCCCGCAGTTCTACATACATTGCTCTAACAAGGACTGTGCTTTTTAATACTTATTTTAAGGAAGGGAAAAGCAAACCCTAAAACTTCACCCAAACGGTAAAACACACACACACACAATCCTCTATCTCTTCCACACCTCCCCATCCCCACCCCAAAGAAATAAAAAAAATTTGAAAGTGAAACTCGCTCTGCAAATCCTGGTCAACCGGTTATTCAGCAGTTGTCGAATCCGAAGTTTACCAATAGGACCCCCACCAGCCCCCAAAATACTGCGATGATTCCCTTTCCTCGTGTTCTACGGCTCTCCAGATCACAGTGAAGAAGACCAAAGCCATCCACCGGCTGTACAGTAACAATAATAATCCTCGCAACTGATACGGCGCCTTATCGTGTGGTTGAGACGTCTCAAAGCGCTTCACAGGATACGCTGTGAAGTGTAGTGACTGTGTGTGTTTTGCAGGCGAGGTACTTACCACCGAGCGCGCTGTGCTGGGCTGTGCTGGGGGAGGCTGTGCTGGGCTGTGCTGGGGGAGGCTGGGCTGGGGGAGGCTGTGCTGGGCTGGGCTGGGGGAGGCTGGGCTGGGCTGTGCTGGGGGAGGCTGTGCTGGGGGAGGCTGGGCTGGGGGAGGCTGGGCTGGGCTGTGCTGTGCTGGGGGAGGCTGGGCTGGGGGAGGCTGGGCTGGGGGAGGCTGGGCTGGGCTGTGCTGTGCTGGGGGAGGCTGGGCTGGGGGAGGCTGGGCTGGGGGAGGCTGTGCTGGGGGAGGCTGGGCTGGGGGAGGCTGTGCTGGCCCTCCGGAGGGTGGGGGGACCTTCACCTCTCCCCTTCCTTTCGTCCCTGAGACTTGTGTACCGGCCCTCTCAGGGTTGCCGCCCGGTGCCCGATGTCACCCTTTCGCACTGACGTCGCCTCCTCGTCGTCCTTCCCCCTCCTCCGTGTCGAATTCCTGCTCCTCCTGCGCCCACCCCCTTCCTTTCCCCTCACGATTTAGGCCTCTGTCCGGCCGACGAGCGCCGCCGTTTCCCCATAGCAACCGCGCTCCCCCCCCCCCCAAAAACAAACCCTAACCCACACAGACACCCACACACACACCCACACACACGAATCAAGTCACCCCCCCACCGCCCCCCAGTCCCCGGTCAGGAAGGCGGGCGGGTGGGAGAGACAGACGTGTGTCTGTGTGTGTCTGTGCGCGCAGAGCCACAGAATTTTTTTTTACCTCAACCCAAGCGCCAACGACTTCTTTTTTTTAAAAAAAATACACCGTTCAAACCCCCGGGGCTCCAGGTTTTTTTCACCGATTATTATTGACGCTTTTTTTTTTCGGTCATCGGGGGATCGGATCCGGAGAGGCTCTCTCTTTTTTTTTGTCTAACCTTTCCCCCCCCCCCCCTCAAAAAAAGAGGCGATCAAAAAAATAATAACAACAAATAAAACAAACAACGACGACGACGACAACAACGCCGCCGCCGCCGCCGCGCGATCAACTGTCAGCGCGGTGACCGTTGGTCACTCAGCGGCAGCTCGAGGCCGACGGATGGGAAAGCAGCGACTGGACGGCGGGCCCCGTGCGCGCGCACACACACACACACACACACAGTGCGCATGCGTGCATCCACCACACCCCCACACCCCCCCCCCTCTGCCGTCTCGGACTGAACCAAGAAAGCATTGCGGGAGTGGGGGGGGAGAGGACAGCCAACACGCCATCAAATCGTCATCTCCCATCGCTGGAGTTTTTTATATTTCTACTCAAACTCCAGTAGCTTTAAAGCTACGTTTAATATATTCAGTCGGATTTTCCTTTCTTTGTTTTCTGGGGGTGGGGGGAGGGTTCTGTCGTCGTCTCCCCCGCACGCGCGGCTGGCGGTGGTGGAGCCCGGCTTGTCGCGAGCTGTAAACAAGCTGCCGGGGCTGAGGGGGCGGCGGGAGGGCGGGAGGGAGGGGAGGGGGGAAAATGGCGATGAACGTCAGGCGAGGCGCAGGGTATTTCCCAAATAACCACCGACGTCGCAGCCCGACGCTGCCGGCCGACAAGGGCAGCGATCTTCCCGCGCAGAGGTTCGGAGGTAAGGCGGACACCAGCCTCCGCAGTCGGGGGTTAGTTACCTGTCAGTGCGAGACTGAGGGGACCAGAGGGCCATTTTCTGATTGAATGAACGAGTTAACTGTCTGATGGCCAAAGCCTCCCCCTCCCCCCCTCCCGCCCCCTCACACACACACACACACACACATTAACTTCGGTGATGGTGGGGGTGACGAGGCAAACCTTGTTGGAGAGGTGACTGTACCGCAGTGGGGTTTATTGCCGCTGTGATCGAGATGTGAAAAAGGTGCTCGAAAACCCCAAAGAGGTCGTGATTTGGGGTAAAATGGTCCCTTGTGGTTCGGTGTTCCCGTCAGACGGAGGGGGTGAAGAGTCTCTGCATCTCTCAGACGTGCCATTCACTTATGGAGTCCTGTAGCTCAGTGGTCGCAGCACTCGCCTCGCAAGCGAGAGACTTGGGTTTGATTCCCGGTCGGGCGATACCTTGGCCAAGTGTCCCCCCCCCCCCCCCCCGATAATAATCCCTCAAGAAAAAAAACAATAATAAATTGGTCACTTCAATCCACGACTGTTTGTGGGACATTGCTGTGCGCAATTGGCTGCCGCGTTCGCCCACAAATATACAGTCAATTCACTTTACAGTCTATTCTGTGAAGCGCTTTGAGACGTCGAGAAGACGTGAAAAGCGCTATATCAAATGCAAGGATTATTATTATTATTTCCAGTGACACATACATTTCTTACTTAGTCTCGAATACACCAGGTTTGTGTGTGTGTTTGTGTGTTTTTTTTCTTCTGTAATGTTTTCCAATTTGTTTTTTTTCCACCATTTGCATTAAACTGTTGTGGGGCACATACTGGGAATACAGCAAATCATATACCTTCTATCGCCTTTCTCATATAAAATTGCGGCTAATTATACTACATTCTCATAAATTGAGTGACGGATGCAGGGCGAAACTTTCGGCAAGTTTCCTTACTCCGCACGCTTCTGTTTTACCTAGCATTAAGTAGGAACCCAATTGTTAACTGATCGGAGGTAATAATCCCTTCAAAAGATAATAATAATAATTTGATCATTCAATCCACGACTATTTGTGGGACTTTGTTATGCACATTTGGCTGCCGCGTTTCGCCTACAAAGTGTACAATCAATTCACTTTACCGTATAAAGTGCTTTGAGATGTCCCGAAGATGTGATAACAACAACAACAAAATTACATTTGTGAAGTGATAAAGTGGTATATCAAAAGCAAGGATGATTATTATTATCAACTGCACCAACTGTTCTGTTTTAGCACCAATGTTCATGTTCATATCAATTAAGATAATATTGTCAAATTATGTTTAACTAGCATGTCTGCAAAGGTATTATTTATCATAACTATAAACTGAATTGATCATAATATTGGAAATTGGGCTTATATAGTTTTAGCCGACACATTTTGGTGACAGCTATAACTGTCACTGGGTAATTTTCTGTAATATACGTTAAATCAAAAAGAGTCGAGATAAAAAAAAGATATTGTCATGCTGCTGGCAATGAAACATTATTGAAAGTTACATATTCAAATGATGATACTCACAGGCCTTTGAGGTTAGCTACAGTGTTTGCAAAAACAGCTTCACTTTGAATTTTTTTTTACAGCATCAATACAAAACTTCCATGTTCCTTGACCTGCAATGTCAGGTGCTAAATGAGCTTTACCAGCCCCAGCTAATTATGTGAAAAGGCAATGAAAGTGTAATCATTTCAATGTCACAAGTTACAGTTAAATTGTGTGGTTTCTGCAAATGGATTGACACCCTGGATTTTTGCTCAATAACCTAATGAGTCAGTAAGACATTTTGTAGTCCTTTACATTTTGGAAAGTTTTTTTTACCGCTGTTTAATTATATACATTAAAAGATGAAATAAGGGATAAGGGCTTATTTAATATTGAATTTAGAGTGAATAATACAATAAACCCAATAATATACAGTATAGGGTATTATGTTCAAAACATTTTATTGTTTACATGCTTGCTCAATTTTGTTATGATTATGTATTAAATATTGCTGAATACAACCATGTCATTTAATACAACTTACAGTTTAACAACACTTTGTTGTCATTTATGCAATATTTTCTTCCATTTAATACAGTAGTTTCCAGTCATACAATTTCAGTGTTAGGCTTGCTGATCCAGTGTAGTTGAAAGGAAAAAGAAAAAAAGATTTCAACATATTAACCTTGAAAATATTTGTGTTTTCTTTCCAAAGTCTATTATATTTTGAGCCTCAGGAAAGACCCAACCCCACATTTTTTCACAGAGCTCATTCGTCTACTGTACTCTCGGAGTTTCCCAATGGTGCTTGTTTTCCACTGGGCCTGCTGTGATTTTTATTACAAAAATTTTCAGTGTACTGCTTCCCCCAGATATTTTGTCACAGTGATCCTCACAGTGGTTTCCTGTGCATTCTTGTTTCTAGCAGTGATTCACAATGAAGATTTATTTTCTAACTTGGTACAGAAATGGTTTATCACATTATTCTGTAATGCTCTGAGAAGAATTTGCAATGTCTTTGATTTTTTTTAGCTGTTCTTCACTGATCTTATTTAGTAAGCAGGGTGTCCTTGGGGCTTAGCTGGCTCCAAGGTGATGTGCCTGGTAATGGAATATCAGAATCGAGTCATCCAGTGGGGCAGACTCGGCTTCCGGTTACTCAGCCAGGCAGGTCTGCATTACCTCAAGGCATTGTTGCTTGCAGACCAGGCAGCCTGGCTCGCTGGCAGGACTTGGAAGGGCAGACCATTCAATGGGGCAGGTATCGTTACCACAACAGCTCCTGTTAACCCTGCAAGCCTAACAGGTATGATGGTTCTCGCTGGATAAGTAGTCGAAAACTTACCAACCAGTGCACACAATGGCAAACTACTTGTGTAACCTGGTTAAACTCCAAGAATGCTGCATCGCACACTTTGGGGTTATCAAGCCACGGCTTTTGCCAATCTGTGCCTACTATTTTCCAGGAAGAGAGAGCATGCTCTCCATTTCAGATAAATGGGAAATTTCCATGCATAGGTGATGTACATATATGGATCTGTCTGGTTTAGCTATTCTTAAACATGGCCATGGGTTTCCACATGTGCCTGCATATTTGAGGACTTGGTGAAAACATTGCCCTCTCACCTCCTCACCACAGCTTCTAATTCAACTCAGTTTAATGAGATTAAACTCTTGCTCTGATATCTACACGAGTTTTAAGTGGATAAAGGAAAAAGTGACAAGAATTGTTACCGAATTACCCATCTTATCCAAAAGACTACAAAGAAGGATAGTCTGTGAAATGGAAATTTCACATTGGCACAGTAGGGGTGATCATCCAAGAATGGGTGATGCAATGGAAACTTTACCATGCATTTAATCAGTGCTGTGTGTGACTCAAGAACACTTAATATTGACATGGTGCAAAAAGAGAAGAAATGCTTAATTCACCTCATTAACAGCCAGCCCTCACCTTGGCAAGCATAATCCATTAATGCTCATCTCGTGCAATGATTTGGCACCATCGTTCTTTTTTTTACAATTTCACTAGAAAACCCTGCTTCGTGTAATACCTTTTTGATTAAACACTCCTGTTTTTTTTCTGAATAACTCACAATGCTGATTGTTCCACACAGAAGTTAGCTACACTTTTGAAGCCCTCGTTTCTTGCAATTCACCATAGCTCTCTTGTGACTCAGTTGCATTCCCAGTTTGCTTCTTGTAACAGCTTCCTCATCAAATTAGAGATTTGTCATTAAATTCACACTGTTGGAGTTTCTTAACAGCAATTTGTCACAATCCTTTAATATTTTACAGATTGCTGTTTCTCATAGAGTTTTCCCACATGCTTCCACTCTTCATAGTTAACATGTTATAACATGCTCATTCCTCACAGTAGTACACTACTGCTCTTACGTCGTCAATTTGCCACAATATAACCACAGAGTTTTTTCTTGCAACAGCACATTGATGTGTTTTATTCTTTGTGCATTTCCTGTTGAGCGCTTTCTTACAAGGATTGGAGAAAAGTTAGTCACCTTCGGCCTCTCACATGCTGTTTCTAACAGCTATCTATAGAGCAGCATTGGTTGGGAGACAATGCTTCTCTACAGCTTGGGAGCATATCTGGAACTTATCCTCTGAGATAGAAGAGGTTTGAGGTCTAGAGAGGATAATGAAACCAAGAAAAAGACTTAGTTTAGGACCTTTAGTTTAATAGAGCCTTTCACCCATCTCCTAATAGTGTTTCTTTGATTTCCCTAAAGGGAGAGGAAGTGGTGCTGATCCCAGCACTGGCAACATCTAACAGCCGGACGGCTTGGAATGGGGCCACAGACACAAGGAGCGGCTGGTCTGTGGTGTAGTGGTTTTGCCCAGGCCTGAATTAAGGCAGCGAAACTTGAGGGCCTCAGGTGAGGGGAAGCGGGCTGAAAGAAGGCCAATTCTTTGAGTACCACTTTTTTTGAAAAGAGAGACCAGTTCTCCACGTTCAAATACCTGCACATCGTACATTTTTTCATTGAGAGCCCTTGGAACATGAAAAATCTCAAAGAAAGTTCAGCCTTATCTTTTTATTGTTGACTATACTTTATAGAGGGAGAGTAATTACAATATACTCTTACTGTACTAGATGGGAAGAAAGAGAAAATCATTCTCGTGAATTTGATAGAGGAAGTATGTGGACCAGAGATCTAAACCTTCAGACCTCAGTGAGAGGATCACCTCTAAAATGTTATTCCTGTTTAAAGGATGGTCTAAAACTTACCTTCCTAAATAGTTTACACAGCCAAATACAATATTTAAGATGCAGGAAGGTAGATCATTATGTTTTAAAATTCAGAAATCTAGTTGAAAACTCAAGACCCACATTGCATAATGGCACCAGGTTCCAGTAATGGTGACAGAAAGATTGGTTTTAACAGCTTGTTGATTGTAAGAGGAATGGAAGACTTAAGAAAGTTTAAAAACTTAGGCAGTCTTGAAGCCCTGGGAAAACTAAGTAGGAGATGGCATGCTGAATCTTGATTTTAACACAGTGAAATGAGCAGGAAGGCCATGTAGGGCAGCATATTTGGAAAGGTTGTTATGGGACAAAGCGAGAGGGTGGGGTATGGGGAAAGAGGGAAAGATTTCCTATTAGATGTGAGATTATTTATTGAATCCTTTCCAGGAGAAAGGTACTAGAAGAACCTCTCCAAATACAAAAGCAATAGTTTTTTTTGACAAACTGCAATGTTCTCTAAGGCCTCTTGACCAGCAGCAATGTACATTTTAGCTAATTATGATGGAATATTTAACACTTTTCCATCCATGTAGTTACGATGAGCCCATGTAAATGTTCCTGATGTTAATCAGTGAGGTGGTTCCCAATAACTGAACCCTGGAAAATAAAAGGTTTATTTGCAGACATCCTAGATGGTAGCTATTAGCAATTACAATTAAAGTAAAGCAAATTCTTCTGCGATTTTTCTGGCTTCCAAATACTTAGAAAAAGTGTTTTTTGCCTTTGTTCATATTTATTGTGAGTATTGATGTGCGAATCTTAAGAGATGCCCACTTCACAGAAACTTCTCATACAGCTTTCATTTCACTATCTTGACACTGATGTCAACTTTATCATTTCTTTGCACTGCTAGACATCCTGGGGTATTAAAGGATGCCAGTTGTTTCACCTGACTATTATGTACTAATCAGTGGTGGTCTTGGAAATCGCCAGTCCTCATACTGATACAGAGCTGTGTGGAACTACTAATGGACAATTTAATTCAAAGATCCAGTTGGAAGGCTATAACTGAACTTGCTGAGAAACAACTAAATTGAACATTACTCTCACGTTTTCTATAAAATAGCCATTAAAACTTTCCTGAATACAGTTGCAATTTTCTTTTCCAGTACTTCCATGTTGACTGAGGGGAATCTGTTCCAGCTTTGCATCATTGCAAGCTACCCATTTCTTTGAAGTAAATGTTGAAACGGCACTAAAACAACCGTTATTGAACTAAATCTTCTTTCTGACATTCTAGCAATTAATAACATACAGCTAAAATTGGATTGTTACTGAGTTCATAACACACTGGCCAAATACTTTTTGTCACAACTGTATTATCACTGCAGTATTTGTATAGTATAAAGTTGCATTTAAAAAACCTGCACAAGAACAAAGTGCAAAAAGGAAAAGTACTACTGCAAGCTGTTTGCCTAAAACATTTAAGATTCAACTATTCAAATTGAGCTGAGATACACTTCAAGATCAGGAAAGTGTGAAGTTATGTTGAAAATAAGCTTAATCTATTAATAACTTTCTGATTCCCTAGTCCAATGTCTGCTCTGATCCACGAGACCGGGTATCATACAGTGAACGCATGTTGCTGTAATTTGTTAAAACTTTTTCTTTTAGCTCCAGATATGAAGACAAAGACTGATTGTGGGATCCCTGTGTGCCAACAGCCATATCGACACACAGCTTTGTCTCAACCACTACAGCCAATGACTATCCAAGCTGCACCCTCCAAGCAACTTCAGCCTACCTCGCCTGCTGTACTACCATCCTCCTCCTCACCCCTGCCGCCTGAACAGAAATATAAATCTTCTCAATCTGAACATGTCCCAGTACAGCAAGAGATAGCACCATCCTGTGAGGTCGACCGAGATCCTGTCTTAGCAGACCTCTGTAGACCACTACTTTGTAAACTGTGCAATGTGTCTCTGAATTCAGCACAACAAGCACAGGCACATTACCAGGTGAGTAGGTTAGTGAATAGGAAAGTACTGTCATAAAATAATTCAATGTATTGTATTCTAGTCAAAGAAGTACAACTTAATCAAAATAACACATGTACTGAATATGGATTAAATAATGAGTGCTGCTATTATTAATTCAGGCTCCCAAGTATTTATTGTGTTATCAAAGAGATTTCACATGGGAGTAAATAGTCCATTCTCCTTGTATCCATCCATCATGTTAACCCAGACATTAGAAATAAGTTAAATTGATTCTTACACAAAAAGATTTTGTGGCATTAAGATGTGGCATTAACACCCTGGAAGTTATTTTACTTGAATGACTACCTTTTTGATAAATAGTGCTCACAGAGCTAAGGAAGTTATTCTTTTGTTTAAAAAAAAGCATGATTTAAAGGGGAAAATGAAAGAAAAGAATGATTGTAAAGACAAAGTGAGTTTGTGCTTGGGAACTCAAGGCAGACATTATTTGTGTGAGGAAAGGCAATGGAGGGATAGGTTGGTGCTCTCAATTGCCTTTCCTAGCAACTGGTGATATTTATACTGATCGTTTACCTATTATTAGAGCCTGTTTGCTGCAAAGTTTGTTGCTGTATTAGAGAATATTTGACACTATGGAAATCTTTTGCACATAGACAGTTGTTCATCATCACCATGCTAGTGCAGAGCTAGATGGAATGCTACTATAAAGATTAATTGACACTTGTACTTCAATATATTTGTAATGTTTGGTGAGAGTACCTAGTGCTTCATGAGAGTATAATTTTGAAATGTATTCACATGCTATTGAATTCTGAGTTGTCAGACAGGAGGTTATAAACATTTGCGGAGCTCAGAGATTACCCGTGGAGTCTTGTAGCTCAGTGGTTAGAGCAGTTGCATTGCAAGCGAGATACCTGGATTCGATTCCTGGGCATAGTGAAATGTTGGGCAAGTTTCCTTACTCTACATGCCTCTGTTTACCTAGCAGTACAACAACAACAACAAAATTACATTTGTATAGCGCCTTTCATGGCGGGAGGACTTCCCAAGGCGTTGGACAGACAGTTACAGACCGAGTTAGCAGTAACCTGGTTGTTAGTCAATTGGCAGATCACTTTTCAGAGGATAATAATCCCTCAAAAAAAATTGTTCACTCAATTCACAACTGTTTGTGGGACACTGCTGTGCACAATTGACTGCCGCGTTTCACCCACAAATATACAGTCAATTCACTTTACAGTATGTGTTAAGTGCTCTGAGGTGCTACCTTGTGTGGAGGGCTCTATATAAGCGCAAGTTGCTGTTTATTCTGTGAAACACTTTGAGACGTCTAGAATACGTGGTAAGGCGCTATATCAAATGCAAGGATTATTATTATGTTTTCAAATGGCTCAGAATTCCATAACCGAACTGTTCTGCAGAACGTAATGCATTTTGTAATGTAATTGTGAGACATGGACTGGGATTTCCGAGCCAAGTGGTCAGAATGACGACAAAAGGAGCACATTGCCTCTTTCTTTCTCTTTCTAACTGGCAAATACCATGTCTGCATCGGCAGATTAAATACCATGTCTGCATCGGCAGATTAAATACCACGACTGCATTGGCAGATTAAATACCATGACTGCATCGGCAGATTAAATACCATGACTGCATCGGCAGATTAAATACCATGACTGCATCGGCAGATTAAATACCATGACTGCATCGGCAGATTGAGATTTATTACAGTTTTTTTTATCATGAACCGATTATCAAAATGGTGGTAGATTATATCTTATTCTTTACCAGTTGAGGAAGGGATTGTGAAGCTATAGGTTAGATTTATTTATAAGAATTTTGCAAGTGTGTTTACTCTGAAAATAGCAAATCAGAAACCATAACTACAGGTACTATCATCTGGATGGAAAAGAGAAGAATGGGTGAAGAATTTACATATCTTGGTGTTTTACCAGTTGCAGTCTGTGTAAGCCATTACACTTTACAGTGGTATTTTAAATATGTTTAGCTATTTGTTCTTCTATTGTCTTATCATCATTGTAATATCTTGTCAGATCAGATGGATATTCATTGAATAGCCTTAGGCTGTTTCACTGCAGTGGTGGTAGTGCTGAGTCATACCTATTAGAGAGTGTAGTAAATATATTGGGTGTTTTCCTGTTAGCTCAGTTAAATAATTCTGCATATTTTTCTTTGTTTGTGCTTACGGCATATCAAAATATGGAAGCTTGTTGTGCATTATGCTTTTTTTTCTCTCTGACCAACTCCTGCATTAACATGTATTTCCTTAAGGGTAAAAATCACTCTAAGAAACTTCGAAATTACTATGCTGGCCATCAGTGTCCAGCTCCTACCAAAGTGACTCCATCTGTAGATCAGCCAGTTGTACAACCTGCAGCAGAAGTTTCCAAGGTAATGTAAATATGTACTTTAATAATAATAATCTTTGCATTTGATATAGCGCTTTTCACATCTTCTAAACGTCTCAAAGCGCTTCACAGAATATACTGTAAAGTGCATTGACTGTATATTTGTGGGTGAAACGCGGCAGCCAATTGCGCACAACAGTGTCCCACAAATAGTCATGAATTGAAGTGACAAATTTATTATTTGTTTTTTTTTCTTGAGGGATTATTATCCCTCAAGAAGTACTGTATTATCCCTCAAGTAGAGTACTTTACTTGACGTGGCACAGATTTGCAGACTTATTGTAACTTAAGGCTTTTTTTGTTACCTTTTCATTTAATACAGTAATAAATTTAAAAGCTATAATTTGGTGTTTAATTCTCTATGTTTTTGCTTAAAGTTAAAATGTTAATACTTGTGTTTCAGATTGTATTTGATAATGAGGCAGTGAAGGGATCAGAAATAACTTTTTTTTGTTTATAATGTCTTGTACCTGGATTTTTTTAATGTTTTTGAATTACTGATGAGTGTCAATTTCTGTTCAGCCAGGGTCCTCCAAGATTGCAGGTCGTGTGATTCTAGCCACAGCAAATGATTACTGCAAACTCTGCGATGCTTCTTTCAGTTCCCAGCTGTGGCTCAGGCACATTATCATGGGAAGAACCATGCCAAGAGACTGCGGCTTGCAGAAGCCCAGAAATCCAGTTCGCTTACGTATGTACATTAATATTAATCCTTGCGTTTCAGGCTAAATAAAATTGTAACTGACTCCTTAACAGCTTTGCACTTGATCAATGTTTTACTTACAGAATTAACTGAATATTAATTCAGTTGAGGGTTGCCATTGAGGCTTTTTTTTGAGCTATACAGCTCTTATAATTTTAAATAATTAAGGTACTTTGATTTTTAGGGAAACAACAGATCTGGCAAAGAGACGACCAAGGAAAGAAGGGAGCGAATTTAAAAACGTACCCAACCGGAGGAATCTACATGGAGCTCAAAATACCCAAGGTGTCTAATAGTTACTGTTTACTTGTAAACTATTTGCAAAGTTGACCAACAAACATATCAGTGAGTAATGGAGCCAGATATTGGGCAGGTCCCACATTAAAACTGCATCTGTATTGATTTTGGTGACTTCAGTCAAGATGACATTGGTCTGTAAAGTTGGCTTCAGTTGCCGAGGTTAGAAAGATGACCTCTAGCGGGCTCTCTGTGTATGTGGTTGTCAGGTGAGGACAGGACTTGAGCATAATTCTCTCCCCAGTATTCCTTACCTGTTTCAGCAAAGATAGTATTCTTCATTTATCAGTAACATTTTGTTATGTTAGAGACTTGTATCATCTTCATTCTCTTGCACTCCTTAATCCCTTTTCCCACTCAAACAAAATTAGCTTCCTTAGCCTTTTCAGATCGTAATGATTAGAAACCCCAAACAATCTCTGTTCCCCTTCTTTGAATCCGTTTCACTGTCTGTGTTCTGAAAGCAATTACAACCTGACACAATGGTCTTGTAGCATACTGTTGTAATTGTTCTTGCAGCTATTTCTATATAAAATCATTTCAAATGGTTTTAGTTTTTTTCACAAATCTTTACATGTTCCAGAATAGAGCTTTCCTATTAGAATATTTTATTCAGCATGTTTTATTCCTGTTTTCCTATACAAAAAGTAAAGAATCTTGATGTATTTGGATAATATAACGAACATAATATGTTTATGGCCTAAAGTAGCTGCCTTCTGTGCTTAAAAAAATTCTTGGCAAAATCATTTTGGATCTCTCACTTTAAGTTTTATTCTTTCACTCTTTAATTCAAGTCTTTCAATGTGAGCTCTTTTATTATACAGGTCCTTATTTTAATCCTCGTCCACGTCAGCGGATTCCACGTGACCTGGCAATGTGTGTGACACCGAGTGGACAATTCTACTGTTCTATGTGCAATGTGGGTGCGAGTGAGGAACAGGAATTTCGGCAGCACCTAGAAAGTAAACTGCACAAAAGCAAGGTGTCAGAGCAGCGCTACCGGAGCGAGATGGAGAACCTTGGATACGCCTGAAGCTGTTGAGCTAAACACATCTTAAAGCCTTAGGAGAAAGCTTATGATTGTCTGTTACCCATGTTTATACCATCTCTGTACAGGAAGTTTTTCAAGATTTAAAATAATTCACTTTAACTATCACTGTTTTTTTAATGTACAAATCTTTGTTTGGTTCAGGTAAAACGTAATTTGTTATTTTTGTTGAATGTTGCTGCTTTATAGAGAAAACCTAAGTTTTTTTGCTATTATATTCTGTCCCTTAAAGGGGTGAATATGTAACTGGGAATATTCTGCTTCTGAAGATAATTTCGGAGACATTAAATGAACGTATTTGTTTTTCTTGTTACTGTAGATTAATTGTCTAGAATTGTTTGTGTAAATCTAATTTGAATGCTTTAACTATTTTTGTTTCCCAGTTTATAATGGTTATCTGAAGTTTGAATCAATTATTTATTGCTGGATAATCTTTAAACAGAGAGAGGGAGTTTGATTATCAAGGGTGTCTTTTGAAAATGATATACTGTAGTTACAGGAATTGTTATTTTAACATCCTTCTGTTTGATTCATTTCTATTGATATTTAGGATATATATGTTTTTAACAAGTGCACTAGTGACATTAAGGGGGAGGATTACTAAATTGAACAGTGTGATGGTGCTGAATAAATTATAAAGAGTTTTATCATAACCTGTTTTTAGTTAAATTTCCTCACATTTGGGTTCAGTATCTCCATATTCATTTTTAACAGAATCAATGACAGGAGAAACTAAAGGATGCTAATGTTACTTATAGTTTCTTGTAAATAATTTTTAAAAAGAGCCCTGGTAGTACAGCTCTCCCTTGAAGACCGGTTTCACTGTTTGCTAATTTTATGAAAATAAACCATGGGGTAGGATCAGAAACAACAGTAAAAGTTAGATTTGTGGAAACAGTTCCATGTGCTACTTTTTAAAAAAAAGTAATCTGAACAATTTTCATTTCTCTACAATGAACAGGTAAGTAAGACTTTTTGACACTGGAGGTGGCTGATTAAGTATTTGTGAGAACTACTGTAAGGAGCTGGTGCGGCGAATTGGAAAATAGGTAGATAGATAATGCAGTATGGCCAAAGTTAGTTATATTTGAGTCAATGGTTATATATTTTTGCACAGATATACTGCAAAGTTTCTATTCTAATAATAGAGAATTGTTACCCTTCTGATAGCCTATAGTGTTTGCTTTCCATTCTACCAACTCTATCCCTTGTCAGTGATCTGCCTTCAAGGCTAGTTTTATGAACATTTGGCACAGCACCTTTTTAATAATTCGTAACCTTTGCAAATTAATGTTCTTTAACAAAAGTTTTATTTTTTATAATTTTTTTTACCAAAATGTGAAATATGCTGATTTTGTTTATGTCATTATGGTCATTTGTTATTTTCTCTGCTGTGGAGTGTTTTTTTGTGAGATGAAATATGTCTGTGTCTAAGTTTTAACAGATGATTAAAAGTTTTAACAGATATTAAATTCAGCCTTTCTAGGCTTATATTATAGATGTTGATATTTAAAAAAAAGTAAATTTTATAAATCTGTGGTTAAACTGTAACTACTGCATGATTATACCTGTTTGAAATTCTAGTTGTAGCCAATGATACAATCTACTGGCAAATTGCATTTCCATTTCAAACATAGGTTTACTACATAATGTTCTGTCTGTTTATTCAGATGAACAGAAGATTTCACACAGAATGGCCACAGTTAGTATAAAACCACTTGGTTTTCAAAATAAAGTATATAGTGAAGGATATATTATATTTAAAAATGTATTATACATTTCCAATAAACTATTGTCAAATTACAGAAATAAGAGACTGAATTATCTGTGCTCAGAAGTGAGTTTGTTTTTATTTTGGAAGTTTATGTTGTGTGTCTTCTGTGAATTCAAATTGAAAGAAACTACTTTTTTAAAATTTCTTTGTAGATTTGTACAGTAATAATGTTATGCAATTGTTTCAATTGTTTTGATGTGAACCACATGAGTATCAGTGCAGTTACCCTCACCTATAATTTACCTTTCATTTACAATTTACTTTTAATTTATAAAGTTTAGTAATTGTGTAGATAGAATGTTTGCCAAGAGCAATTTGTAGTAAAACAGTGGCGTGTTTAATGCTGCTAGCTGCATAAATTATCTGTGGCAAACATTCATTTATTGGGACACAGAATAAAGTCTGTCACAAATAAAGTAGTTTTTCGTAATTCCTATAGTCTGTAACATATAATGGTTTTGGATCTTTATTTTGTGGAGTCCTGTAGCTCAGTGGTTAGAGCACTCGCTTTGCAAGCGAGAGACCTGAGTTCAATTCCCGGCAGAGGGCGAAACCTTGGGCAAGTTTCCTTACTCCACACAGAGCCTAATAATAATCCCTCCAAAACCAAAAACAATAATAAATTGGTCATTTTCAATCCACGACTGTTTGTGGGACATTGCTGTGCGCAATTGGCTGCCGCGTTCGCCCACAAATATACAGTCAATTCACTTTACAGTGTGTTCTGTGAAGCGCTTTGGGACGTCCTCCCGACGTGAAAAGCGCTATATCAAATGCAAGGATTATTATATTATTTTGATGTTTCTTAGAAAACATGGGAAGTTTAAGATACATTAGTGAGGTGTTCTCTGCTAATACAAATCAGAACCCGCATATTAAATGTGTACATCATACATGTCTATTCTAGAAGTTGGGATGGAAAATAATTTGGTTATTGATTGCTCTCTGAAGCTTTCTAGTCGACCAGAGACATTATTCAGGATCGCTCAATACCCTGAACCAATCCCACCAATATTCTGGGTCAGTCAGCGGTCCGGACCTTTCCGTGTACTCTCACTGTTCAGCCAATGTCCTGAAATATTCCTTGTACTGTTGTGATTTTGTCGCTTGATGATATGTACTCAAACTTCCACTATTCTGCCCACACATTTACAACGTCATCTAATCGGTGGGAATCAGCAGGGTGGAGGTCAGTACGCTACGTGGAGGTATTTATCCGCGGTTGATTGTTTTGGGGAGATGTCCAATAAGCAGCTCATTTGGTCACTGCAGCGTTTAATTGACGGCAGTCGGTGCTGCTGGAGGACTCTGCCACCTCGTGGTCGACAAGTGCACATTGCAATCTTGAACCAATTTTTCTTTTTTAAAGTACTTCCCGATCAATCTCAGTCACCTTCTCTGCTGATCTGCGATAGAGTTGTTTATAGCCAAGAATGTAACCGCACACCTGAAATGTGACATTAGCAGCAATGGTCTCACGTCGCTACTCCAAGTTACAAAATAGCCCATTCTGCCGGTAACCGGATTTACATCACACCGACAGGTACACACTTCTGGGTCAGAGGTCCCATACATCATAATAACACATTCCATTACTCAACAGGTTATTATTTGTGACTAGGAGTTGCTATTTCAGCGCCTTGGGACGTCCTCCCGACGTGAAAGGCGCTCTATAAATGGAATCTTGTTGTATTTGCAAAGGCTGATGTGAATATCGGGTTGTATATTTCTACAGCATTTGGCTGTTACAGTAAGTAAATTTCTGGTTGGCAGAGAGAAATCATATCTGTGGGTTTATCTTTTAATATTTTAGGTTTTATGAATACAGGGATATGGTAATGGTGGGAAAAAAAGCAACGAAGTAAAGAAAAAAATCTATCCAGTAAATATCCTCCTGTGTGCAATCTAATGAAAATTCAAGCAAAAGCTATTTCTATAGGATTGTAATTTTTTTACTGCGTCCATTAAAATATTCATTACCTAATGAGCTGAGGAAATGACTGGGTTGAAGTGAAACCAGATAAGAATATAATTGAACCAACTTTTATGCAATGTGCATGCAGAACTAATTTGTGTACTGCAAATACTCAATCGCTTTTATGAAAATATGATTGAAATTTTGCCTGATTTATTGGGTTGGAACGAAGCAATGCATTTATTCATAAATTTGCTTTATGATGTTTTATTACTTACACTTGGCCAAATACAACACATTATTAGTATAATGGCTTAGCTTAACTTTAACAAGGTGACTCTGACACATTTGCCACAAAATACACAGTCAATTCACTTTACAGTATATCCTGTGAAACGCTTTGAGACGTATTGAAGACGTGATAAGGCACTGTATCAAATGCAAGGATTATTATTCAAAAAAGACTGAGTGGGTCAGATTCATAATTTATAATAAGTAGCAAGCAGCTCAATACTATATCAGGAGGATTTAATGGAAAATGAAGTAAATGCAGATCAGTACAGCACACATACAACAACAACTTGCATTTATATAACGCCCCTCACGCAGGGCAGCGTCCCAGAGAGCTTGGTACCAGAAAATGGTCACGTTAGGTCTTGGAGCAGCTTCCCAGTGGATGAGTGATTGCAACTCAAGAACATAGACTTCTATTTCCACTACTTGCAAGAAAGTGCGGAGCAATTGTCACTGCTGTTACTTTCTTCAATCATTTTGCACCTGTCATATTCTCAGGGGCTAAGTGTCCACCCCATCCCTGTGAGCATCATCATTTGCACCCTGCCCAATTCCATCTACATATATTATTTGGATGCCCACATCCATTGTCATTTACCAGGTACTGGAATATTACTTGGAGATGCATAAATGTGAGCATTTGAGAACTGATCTACACTAAAATATATTAAAATGAACCCAATGCTCACTCAGGTTACGGAGATGGAAGCCAATTTAGAGTCTGTTTACAGTATAGGTTGTGGAGGATTTATAGAGATAATGATGTAATGCAATTAACACACACCACATGGAAATCACGTATCTAAATCTGAAGAAGCCAATTAGACAGATGGCTCACAAAACCCAGGATAAATGATCAAAATTAAGATCTTAATTTTGACTCTGCATGCCCTCATGTTGTTCTGCTTCCTGGTTAGCAAGGTGACTTGCTCACTCATCTGATTTGTAGCCTGGTTTATTGTAGACTTGATCTTTGATCAGTGTACCACACTTTCAATGATAGTTACAAATTAAACCTTTTTCATTCCAACTTCACAATAATGTTGCTTTTCCTGAATTATTCCAGTTTCCTAATAATCTACCTTTAATGTTGCTGTTTGCCCCCAAAAATGCAAGAGTTTGAACCGTGCCAATGCCTTTGTAAATCGCCATACACAATTCAGCTTGACCTGCATTTCAGCAACAAAGCAAACATTGCAGATGCCTTTCTAAAATGTCATAGTTAAATAAAGTCCAAATAAAATTTAGGGTTATAATGGTTTTGTCAGTGTAAATAAAGATCATCCTATCCCTTTAACATAACTGTACAGTAAATCCTGCGAAGCCCTTGACAGGAAAGGTGCTATATCAAATGCAAGGATTTTCAAAAAAATTATAAATATATGTACAGTATTTATGGTAAGATACCTTTGTGTTGTGATTCTACACTTTTCTCTCTGATTAATTAAAAATCACTTTCATCAATATTTCAGTACTTTACCGCTACTGATTAAGTTCCTCTTCGGATCACTGAAAATCCACAAAGCAGAGCTGAAACCTGCTCTGTCAGGAGACTGCTGCAACTTACTGCTTTCACACAAGAGTGCACTGCTGCACAAAAATGCTTAAGAAAACTTGTTCCTCCTGTTAAATATGCTATTTGCCACTGATGCTATTCTCCAGGCTAACAA